CTAGGAGGCTACGCAGTGACTACTACTCATCCAGGAAGAGACCTAGATAAGGACACATGGGAGCTAAGGTTCCTTATTCATTCTTTCAGTCTCAGCTCAGGTATGTCCTTGAACTCTCCTTCCAAGCTGAACTGGGCTTCCCTTTTTTTTTTTTTTACCTAGTATGACCTCACTGGGTACCACACTGCATGGTGCCAAATGATACCTTTGGTGCTAGGCCCAGGGTCTGCATCCAGGAAATACTCAGTAAGATTGAATTGTGGATGAAATGGAAAATAGCTCAGGCTGGCTATCTTAATGGGATTATACACAGCTACGGCAAGACACTCGAAGCCAGTGCTGCACTTGCTCCCACAGGTACTGCCTTGGACTTCTCTGAAAACTACCACGATCAAGAAAACACAGCACTCCTACCTGCCTGCTCTTCTAAAGCAGGGAATCAGACTACCACCCCTTCCCATACAGGGAGCTGCTGCATCTCTGGAGGCTATATGATCACTTACCACTAGGGTCCAACTCTTTCCTATCTCAGGAGTAATCCAGACTTAGTCACATTACCAGGGCTCAATGTTTAACCTTCTTATATGATGTATCTCATAGGGCAGCTCATTTAACCTTACCCATAACAGCAATGGAGTTTTCAACCTCTATGGGTTCTTCTGGTGTTAAAAACACTCTTTGAGGGAGGGTTTTTCACTGAGAAAATTTCAGTTGCCTGGTTTCCTGAGTTTTGTGCTTTTGAAGAGACATGGCCTTGTCCTATCCCAGTGAATAAAGCCTCAGACTAGATTTGTCAAGTGAACCAGCATTCAAGACTAATCAAGAAGGCCTTTGCGGTGGTAGCCACCCTCCCTATTGTCAGAGTAGTCACTCTCCCCAGCACATCTGATCTATCATTAGATTCTTCACCACCCGGCTGGCTCTCACCCACAGCCCCCTTCTCCATAAGCAGATGGGAAACTGGCTGCCACACTCTTCTGAGCCTTCTCCAGGCTTCTAATCAGAGCAAAACACGACCAAAACAGAAGAAATAGTTTCTCCCACCAATTCTTCAAAATTAGGCCCATCTGTTTTCCAAAGCACTAATCCAAAGTGCCAGTGAGTACCCTGGAGGGTCAACCGTGGCCACAGGAGGGAGAGAACCAATTTGGCTGCAGTTTGTGTCTCACCATACTTGCTACTTCAGGATACCTCCCACCCCTGCAGTGGGCGCAGAAAGAAGACTCATCTCTCTAGCCCTGTGAGGCACAGTCCAGGAGGAAAGCCAACCCAGAAAAAGCAATCAGTGGCTTTGGAGTCAGAGGACCCAGCCTCCAGGCTATGTCAGGGCCAATTCCATCTGTCAATGAGGGCCACCCCTTTCACAGCAACCGGCTATAAGGTAATTAATGAGTGTGGTATGTAGACCATTAGGAGCCAAGAGACAACCAGAGATACTGATCAACTGCATTGTTTCTTGAAAATCATTTTAACGAACCTCTTTGGAAGAGGTTGGGCCAGATGATTTCAAAGGTCCTTCAAAGTGCTGGTTTACCATGTATGGCATTGACTCATATATCGGTCCTTCAAATTGGTTTGACAAGTTTAGATGAAACAGGGATATATTTGTTCTCTGTTGGATGAGAAACTGACACCAAGCCAATTTTGATGAGTTCCTGAGCAGTGATTTCAAAAGAGGGTATTTTTAAAAATCAGATGTTCTGGCTCTGGCCAGATGGCTCAGTTGATTGGAGTGTTGTCCTATTCACCAAAAGGCTGAAGGTTTGATTCCTGGTCAGAGCACAAAACCTGGGTTACAGGTTGGATCCCTGATCAGGGCACATATGGGAGGCAGCAGATCAATATTTCTTTCTCACATAGATGTTTCTCTCCCTCCCTCCCTTCCTCTCTCTCTAAAATCAGTGAACAAGTACTCTGGTGAGGATTAAAAAAACATATCAGATGTTCTGAGTAAAGCCCTAATGTGCAAGGAAAATGTCATTCTATGCATTTGTTCTTTACTTGGGTTCTTTTTTGGTGTGTTCATTAGAAGAATGGTTGAATATCAGAATAACAGTTGTAAATTGGAAGTACCTTAGAACTCAGAAGACATAGCTGTACACTACAGAAGCTCCATCTTACCTAATTTCCCCATAATTCTGAATGCCAAAGCAGACATTCCAACATGGGGCATCTCCCCAAGCAAAAGTAGCATCAAAAATCACAGTCACCCAGCCGGCGTGGCTCAGTGGTTGAGCGTCAATCTATGAACCAGGAGGTCATGGTTTGATTCCTGGTTATGGCTCAATACCCAGTGTGGAATGTGCAGGAAGCAGCCAATCAATGATTCTCATCATCGATGATTCTATCTCTCCCTCCCTCTCCCTTCCTCTCCCAAATCAATAAAAATACGGTATATATATTTTTAAAAATCACACAGTCTAGGCTTAGCCCAGATTTGCCTGAGATTGCTCTCCAGAGATCAGATTTTTGCCTAGAAACAGAATATTTACTTTCATGAGTTTGCTTTACTATCGTCTCAGCTTGGGCTTCTCCTCGAGAAGGTAAACATCCATTGAAGAATGCACTGTGGTATTAAATAAACAACACATCATCCCATTTGATTCCATGCCATTTCCTTGTTGGCAGAAGCATCCTTGACAGGGCATGAACTGTTCTAAGTCCTCTGTCTTTGTCAAAATATTCTCTATGCGTGTGAGAGGTGGCCAGCAGTGGCAGTCCACAAGGATCTAGACCCCTTGTCCAATTCTAACGCACACAGCAGGTTGAGTAAAACCAACCCATTTTCTATTTCTAGGTGGGTGGGGGAAAGGCCCTAAGGATAACTGTGTTTGTATGAAGAACTGAGAGTAAACAACACACACACACACACACACACACACACACACACACACACGGGCATTTATGATAACCACTAGAGACCCGGTGCACGAAATTCGTGCACAGAGGGGTGCCCCTCAGCCTGGCCTGCAATGACACAAGTGTTCCATGCCTGGCCTGGCCAGAGGTCCTCCGCAGCCGGGTGCGGAACACTTGCCTCATCACTGGGGCGATGACGCAAGCATTCCCCCGTCCCCTGGCCACTCCGTGCCTGCTGCCCAGAGGCCCTCCGCAGCCAGGGTGGAACGCTTGCCTTGTCACCACAGTGACGAAGCAAGCATTCCGCCAGGCTGCTCACGCTGCCCGCTCTCCTCGAGACTGGGGGACTCCGGCGGGGCTGAGAGGACTGGGTGCTGCCATCTCGTGGCTATGGGCGCCACCATCGGTGTGATGGAGTGATGGTTAATTTGCATATTACCCTTTTATTAGATAGGGTTGTTTTCCTTGCAGTTACCCATTCTCTCCTCAGGACTTGAAGTGTTCTGCTGGAGGCTAAGGGTTGACCCCACCTGCTCCCACTGGTGGCACAGCTTGGAGGGTGAACAGGAGAATCTGACTGTTGCCTTCTGTAGCCAGGGCCCCAAAGCTACTTAAGCTGTAACAGCTTGATCTTTGAGGAGTCACTGCCTGTTTTTACCCCTTCTTGAATTAGAGAACAGGAAGGTGAGCAAGCCTGACCTTACCTTGGCTTTGTTCAACCAGTTCTTGATTTAAGACACCAGAAAAGGTAGAGAGGCAGCCTGCTCCAAGTTTGAGGTTGCCTCCCACACTTACTCACAAGGCATTAAGGAAGCATTTACTCACTCAAAGCGAAGTGTGTAAATATTTTTCTTAGGAAGAAAAAAAATACTGATAATACATAGAACAATGTGCACATACAGTCTTGGCACTTTCCTTCATCCAGTTTAATCAACCTCTAAACTGGTGACCTCTATATATCTTGAAGTATCTTTTTTTGTAGAACAATCCTCTTAAGAAAGTTACAGTGGATAACACTGATGTATAAGGATACATTTCTGGATCCTCTTTGGAGGAAAATCTATTCAGCAACCCCTTTCCCTAGAATCTCACTGTGCCCCCCCACACACCTTCCCCTAAGCAGACCTGCTTTCTCTTTGAGTCCCAAGAATTTATAAGCAGCTATACTAGTTCTAAAAACCAGGCCCAAAGACCTCTCTATGGGTTGAAGGAAAAGGCTGGGTGAGAGAGATTTAAGTCCCTAAGTTCTTGATTTTTAAAGAAAAATGAAGGACTGGCTGGGTTTTAACCCTTGGTAGTTAAAATGACTGTTCCAATAAACATATCATTCCCAAGGCTCCATATCCACCATACACTATGGGGATTTTCCCTACCTGGGTGTATATTCAGGGGGATATAGGTGCCTTTTAAATCTAACTTAAAAAATCAGGAAGAAAAACTGTTAAAACAGAAAGCCTCCTAAATCATTTGGTTGTCCCCCTCATTGTCAAATATTGTGTGTGTGTGTGTGTGTGTGTGTGTGTGTGTGTGTGTGTGTGTAACTTAAAAGACTATTTATTCAGACCCTAGAAAACTATAATACAAAATAGGACACAGGGTGCTGGACATCAAGTTCCTAATTTCTTAAAAAAGAAGAAGGATGGCAAGGGGGAGAGTATGACTTGGATCATTTCCATGCCTGCCTATTCCAGCTACATGATATTTTATGGTTATGCTCCAGCCTTCAATTTTTCTTTCCTTCCTCTCCTGCTGGCCCTCCATCTGAATTAAAAGCCAGGCAAGAAAAAGGAAAGAAATCCCACGTTGCTGCCAGCTCCAGTTGAGCGGTTCTGATTGGGGAAGACGTTAGGAGGTTACTAAGTTGAGATGTGGCCATAGATGTGGCCATAGATCAGTGGTTCTCAACCTTCCTAATGCTGCGACCCTTTAATACAGTTCCTCATGTTGTGGTGACCCCCAATTTCATTGTTACAAATTGAACATAATTAAAGCATAGTGATTAATCACAAAAACAGTATGTAATTATATATGTGTTTTCCGATGGTCTTAGGCGACCCCTGTGAAAGGGTTGTTCGATCCCCAAAGGGGTCGCGACCCACAGGTTGAGAACCACTGCCATAGATGCTTATGCTAAAAGCAGCTTCTGAAGAGATCTTTATTGTCCTATGATCACTGGAGGATAAAATTCATTCTCTTCTGGCAAAATTACTTAGGAAGTGGAAAGCAGTGTTGCAATCACATTCACAAATACTGATGGGAATATCTAAAATGTTCAAGGCAGCCTGCTTGGTGCTAGAAAGTATCTTGAATGGCACCATCCAAGATCATCTCTATGAAAGAAGTGGCCTTTCATGAGGCCATTAACAAACTCTCCAGCCACATATACATTCAAATACATTCCATTAGACACGGAGCTCCACAAGAGCAGAGACTGTCCTTCCCATCTTTGTATCTCCACAGCCCAGCACAAGTGGGCACAAGTTCGAAGCTCAGCCAATGTCATCAAATGGAACAGAAAGGATGAACAACAGCACAGCCTTCGGTCACCAGCTTCACCAGTCAAGCACAGTGGCAGCTTCCGATTTTAGTCAGTTTGTAATCATACAGCAATTAATTAAGCAGCTTTAATCTCTTAAGGGCTTTTTAGGGAAAATGAACAAAAAGCGCAGAGAGAAGGCATTCATCACCAGTGCTCTCTCCAGGCAAAAATTTTAAAATTAAATTTACAAAATAAATGAAGCCACTTACAAAAGGTTTTCCTGGGAAGCCTCAGCCAAAAAGAATTAACCTTTTAAAAAGAGGCAATTACATGAAAGGGGCCAAGGGCTGGATACATACTACCCTGATTTGACACCAACCCAACAGGCCCAGATGACTTCTTCCAACAGATACAATCAACAGAGGCAGGAACGCGTCCCCAAGTGTCATTCCCACTCCAAGGAAAAGGGCTAAGAGCCCCCTTCTCAGGGCACCACATTGCTTAGATTTCCCATCAGAATGACCTCCATCCTTCATAACTTCCCCTTTAATAAGAAAAAACAAAGAGTGCATATACACACGAAACAAAGATAGTAGGACATGAGAAATTTGTATGGTGAATCAGATTCCAATGATTTGTGATAAATATGTTTGCTTTGTGAAATAGTGCATCTCTCATTCTAGCTGATAAACCCTCCCCATTATTCTATTTCCCTACCTTGTCTTTCTTTTTCTCCAAAGAATCCATGTCAACAACTCCATATGTGATCAACTTCACAACCAAGCAACAGGAGAGGGGAAATTTTTCAGAAAGAAAAAGTGTTCAGGTTTTAGTTATTAAGTATGGGAAGAATCTTAAAATACAGATAATACCTTAGTGGTTTTTGCCTCCTCCAAAGCCAAGCACATTAAAAAGTAAGCCTCATCCCTCCCTAACCTAAACTGCTTTGCATATATTTGAAGTACTACTGCTCAGCTGGAAGTATGGGAAACAACAACTGTCAATACCATTGTAGGCACCACAGCAGGGCTAAGGGGGAAAGTCAGTAAGCTGGATCCATAATTTGGAATATTCTCTTACCAACAAGTAGCTTTTCACTCTGCACCTGAAGCTAAAACTTGTTGCTACTACTATGTAATTTCTTAAAATGAAAGTATTACTCTGGGGAAATATTTAAAAAATATATTTTTTTCTATTAAAAATATTTATCTTTTTTTCCAAAAACAAAAATCAGTTCCAACTGAAAAGTATTTTTCGAATTATCGGAGATATAGAAAAAAGTGGCAAGTGGAAAAATAAGTCTTTCCTACTGTCAATGAGATTAGCCTCCCAATAATACTAAGATCAAAAAGGAACTAACTGAAACAGCAGTAACTGGTGTTTTCTCTGTGGGCATTTAGTAAGTCACCCTCTCTGTCTTCTGCAGACCAGTGCCAGCTCTTCTATCCTGGGCACCAATGTGCCCTCCAGCAGCCTTTGGAGGGCATATGTTGCTGGTAGGACCTAGAACTGAAGTGGTGTGAATATAAAGTAATGAGACTGATGTGTTTTTTAAACACACATCTGCATGTGTGTACGCACAGAGAACACAGGATACATACATTCAGGTGAGTGATACTCCCCACCAAAGCAGTCACTGAGGAGGTTCCACATATCACAATGATCACCAAAATGCTCACGACATCTCTGGAACTTATCTCTGGGAACTGTTTGTGAGCTGCACACAAAATGGCTCTAGTGACTTTAAAGGTGCACCTCATTTATGATTCCAAACCTCCTTGTTATCCCACCTTCTCTTCCAGAGGTTTCAATAGCTTCTGACTAGTTTGAAATTTAAAATTTTCTCTCCTAGATCCCTAAAAGATTACAGATTTTCTCAGAGAAGGGAGACAAGACTCCTGAGAAGAAGCAAAATAAGGGGATAGAGTAAATCCCTAGTGACCCTGATCAGTGAGTCATTGTTCTGGATCTTAGCTTCTGCCTGAATAAAAGGAAGAAGTTGGAATATTTAACCATTAAAGTCCCTTCCAGTTCTAACATTTTAGGAGTCTATGTTTCCAGATGTTTCTAGACTTTGAGGACAGTTCCAGACATGTTTTCACCAATGGCAACATTATTGGAAAAACGATGCAGTATCCTGTTGGGGCCACTCAAAGGGGACAACATACATTGGGATATATAAGCTCTGAAAGCTTTGTTAAATGTCAGTCATGTGACTTTATAGTAACAGCTCATACATGCACAGGGAATGTCAGCCCATCTGAGATTCCCTAAAATCACATCTTAATCCCTATTCTCAATGAGCCCAGATGGGCAGAAGCACCAAGCACCACCAGGGATGCAAAGACACATGGTGTCAGCTGCTAAGGAAAATAAACCCCAAGGTCCATGGGACTGAATTTACCAGCTGCATCCAGCTAGATACCTTTCCATAGTATGGAGTTTCAGCATTGTTCTTGCCTGACTTCTGGGGAAAGTTTTTGGACTTTAGATCAACATTGCAGATAACCCTTGGCCACGTGGAGAGTAATAATGATGTCCAACTGTCTTTTATCTCACAGCCTGGAAAAAAGGAGGCTGTAAACTGTGGGGGGTGGGACTAATTGCACAGTAAAGGTTTATAGTTCCAGTCAATCTCAAGTATCTGCATGTGGATTTTGCAAAATGGGTACTCAATGCCTAGCCAGCTTCCCCTAGGCTCCCCTGGCATGACCTTGGGTTGTAGTCCATATAACAACCTGTTAGTGTGGAAAATCCATGGGATTTGTTGTCAGGAGACCCAGTGGTCAGTCTGGGATAAGCCACTTAGTTGAGAGAACCTGAACACCTGCACTGCAGTTTCATCATCTAAAAATAGGGTTAGTCCCACTTACACGTTAGGTCTCCTGGTAAGACCAAGTTCAACAATGACTGATTGGTCTGTCAACTATATAGCATTAATCAAATGTTACTTTTTAACAGGGAATGTTAATTAGCTTTTGTAGAAGCATAAACTCACTGATCTCATTAGGAATATTTACTTGTGGCAAGGGTCAGGAGAAGGGCTAACATGATCTTTTGGAATCTGCCAAAGAACTATACTGTTCCACTTCTTTGAAAAAGATGGAACTTATTTTTATCTGCAAGGCCAATTTAAAAATACACTCTGTTAAAAGAAGTCAAGAGATCTATCGGTTGAGAAGGTATCCCCTCTTTCCACTACCATTTCTAACTCTGGCCATTGTGCTCCTGAATCTCATTCCAAGTGGGTGCTGCCAGATTTGGCCCGAAGCCCTCAGGCCTGGGTCACCTAGGGGGTGGGGTGCTTCTGGCCTGGGTCACAGGGAAGCAGACACACAGTTCCCTTGGATATAGACTACAAAGGCCCTGGAACCTCTCAGAACCACATTGGGGTGTTTTGCCATAAAGAAAAACCCCAAGTCAGAACACTCTGCTCTTCAGTATAAATGACCAAGCCCAAAACAAAGACCTCTTAAAAGTAGGTAACACTGTTCATGAGGTGCTACTTGGCCCCGGCCATGTTGCTGGACCGTAAGAGATACTGATCCACGCTTCCTTTTCGCCGACTCACAGTCCGTCTCTCATTGTCAAACATGCGCTGCAATTGCAGAGCCAGCTGCCTGTCTTCTTCCTCTTGCTGCAACTTCTGCTCCATCTCTCGCAGGACTGGGTCTGCTGGGGCCAGACCCAACTCACCACTGCTCTGTCGCCGTTTCTTAAGGGACCCATTTTGTTCCAAGTGCTTGGTCTTACAGTGTCTTTTCCGGCCCCGACGCAAGGCAGGAAGTGGCTCCTCACCTAGGTTGTCTGCCAGGACACCATTGGGCAGATCAAAATGATTCACTGTCTGCAGCTGTTTCTTTGTTTTGAGGACCCCACCTGAAACACTGTTTTTGGGCAGCACTGAATTAATCACCGAGATTTTCATGGCTGTGCTTATACAAGTTTTGTCTAACTTGGCATCTGGGGTTGACCCTGACACTTCAAACTTTTCTCTCAAAGAAGTCCCACTGGCTCCCGCTCTGAATTCTGAAGAACAGCAGGTTTCCAATGGGATCTCAGTGCTCCTTTTACTGTCACTGCCCTGTTGTGCTTTTGTTTGGCTAACAGAGGGGAAATAATCCGGGTCAGCGGGGGCAGGTCCAATACACTCAGAGAGCACATGCCCCCTGGACAGTCTTGTATTTAAAGCCAGACGTGGCCTCTCCTTGCTAGAATGGATAACTTCAGAAACGAGCATGTCTTCCCCTGTTTCTGGAGCCAAGGAGGTGAGGGTGGCTTTCGAAAGGGTTTTTTTGATCTGCCGCTCCTGGAAGATCTGCTCCCACTTTTTGAGGATCCGTGGACTGGCCTCATAAGAAGTCTGCTTCTGTAGGCTTCTGTTTAGGTTGCGGGGTGTTGATTTGATGATGAGGGGGCTTAGCACACGGCCATCAGGGAGTCTCTTGGGAGGAGTACATGGTGAGCAGACTATGGGCTTGAAATGGTTGAGTTCTTCGGAGATGCTGTCATTGCTCTCAGGGCTGATGGAGCGCTCGGGCTTATGCAGGGAAGCCAAGGATGAGAGGGAGCTGAAGGGCAGACGCTTTTCAATGGTCAAGTCAGGGGCGGAGAGGCAGCGGTTGTTCTGAGTGGACAAGAGGACACCAATGATGGGGTTGGAGGTTGGGGTTATAGTTGTGACCTGAAAGAGGTTAAAAAGATTATACATACATACATATATACGTGTGTGTTTTTCTTCATAATTCCTTCATAATGGTAGAGAGAGAGGGAGGGAAAGGATAAGAAAAGGGATAAAGAGTGATATAAGCCTAAGAAAAGGGGAAAATCCCTAACCTAGAATGTACAACATTTTCAGAAATTCCTACAAACTTGAAACAATACAATTAAAAATCTATAGGGAAAAAAGTCATCTAGAACTTCTAAAAATGTTCGTCTATCAACCCTCATGCCAACCATCTGGCTACCAATTCAAACTGTCTTCCCATCATAGCTATTTATAAAATTCCCCAACATAACTAGTCTGCCCAGGACTCCTGTGCCTCTTCTCATGGAATGGTTTCTTTCCTGGCCATGGACAGGTGGTGGCAGACGGGACTGGATGCCCAGGGCCTGTGTCTGAGGTGTACCTTGGCTTTGCTGGTTGGGGCTGCTCGGAGTCTGCTCCTCGTTCTGTCCTGAGCAGTGTCACTGCAGCTCTGACTCCTTTCTACCTTTAGGTTCCTAAAAAAGAATAAATAAAAGACAAATAGTCAAGCGTAGCCCATAATACTAGCTAAGGGGAAAAAAATGAAAATCTCTTCTGTCTTTTCAAAGCCACCCACCAAGAAAGACAATTCCTTTGGGCAACTGCAATGGGAAATGAGTTAATTTAGTAACAAAACACATTCAAAGAACAAATCCTGTCAAAAGAAGAAGAGTTCTCCAGAGAGGACATTTGGTTTAAGCTTTTGTTTCCAAACTAGAACTGCTTCAATAACACAAGATTAATGGCTGTTTTGCTCATGCTTTGAGAGATACAGGGCTACTTCACCTTCCTTAATAGAGTGGACACACTGTTCAATCACCTTTGCAAACAACAGATTTTCCCCCTTCAAATGTCTCCACAAACAATCTAAATCAGCCATGAAACAAACATTTAAGTACCTACAAATATGTAAATACCTACAAAATTCCATTCACTGATGAGCATTATCTGGGCAGTGAAAACACAGAGAAGAATGAGATATCATCTAAGTCTTCAAGGAATCAGAGTCCAGTGAGGCATACAAATAAATAATTCAATACCATACAGTGAAATGGTACAACAACAAAAAAGTGTGCCTAAAAGACAGACTGGCATAAAAGAGGGGGTTATTAGTTACTTGGGATGGAGTGAGAGCAGGGCTGGAAAAGCCAAAAATCAAGGTGGACACACAGTCATGCAGATTATTCCAAACAGAAATTATTTCCTTAAATAGTTTTACTTAGCTTTGGAATGGAACACATCATATCTACTTTTTTTGTAGCAAACGACTTACTTTTAAAGTTTTACTATGTCAGAGAAAATTTATAAAGGTGGTAATAAGGTATATTTTCAGGGCACCTCTCCTCTTCCTACATCTCTAGCAAAGGCCTGTCCTACCTATGACTTCCATTCCAGCATTTCTGTGTTATTCCTCCCATTCAAAACTTTATTAAATAAATAAATAAATAAAGCAATAACATGTCATTGCTTCTTCCATTCATTTGGTCAGCAGACTTTACTGAGCTCCAACTCTGTGCAAAGCACTAGAGACGGACTGACAAAAAGGTAACCTTGACCAGCAAGCGCATCCAGTCACTGAAGTCCACATCACCTTGCTAGATGGCTTCAATCTGATGAACAAATCTATGCTATGTTGTCAACAGGAGAAAGTGGTGGCCAACCTGCATTACATGTCTGCACTTCAAGAAAATTCAACACTGAACCTAAACAATGTGAGAGTTGTACCCTCTAGTGTGAGGTTTATTTTGGAACAGGTAGCAAACTTCAACATCCCCCTATAAAGGCAGCTTAGAAGTCAGCTTGGTGTGTATTTTACCTAGACCAATACTGAAATCCGTTTGTACTCCCAGAACTTACACAAACTGTCAGTGTTGTAAGCCACCCAGAAGTAAACTGGATTGCAGATTAAAATGTCGCAGTGAATAACATGTACTTTGGGTCAGGGGGAATGGATACGGAGCTGAAAAAGACAGCATTATTATTTCAAATATACGACTTGTTTGGCATGATTTCATTGGAGAAAGAAGTAGACACTTAGACATTAATCAACCTAAGAAAGAACTTGGTAACTTTCAATAGTCAGAGCAGTTCAGTGATAGCCCTAGGAGGTACTGAGCTCTGTGTCATTAGGTGTTCAAACTGAGGCTACACCTATACTTTAAGGTCCAAACATTCCATAATTAAGAATTAGCTTAGTATATTTTTAAAAAGTGTTTATAAATCCATTTCATCAGCAGTAACAGAGTCAAATTTAAAGACACTGACTACATGCCCAAGTTATCAGAGGTACAAATGACAAGTACCTAGTGGTAAGGAGAACCTCTTTATATACACACTAAATGCAATTTGTGGTAAAAATAATAAAAAGGCCCAGGAAGGAAAGCTACATTTGCATCACTCAAGCACACCAGAAAGACACCCAAAGCAGTTTCTGATAATTTAAAATCTTTTGGGTAAGCCTCAGTATAACTGAAATTGTCATTGCTTCTTCCATTCATTTGGTCAGCAGACTTTACTGAGCGCCAACTCTGTGCAAAGCACTAGAGACGGACTGACAAAAAGGTAACCTTGACCAGCAAGCGCATCCAGTCACTGAAGTCCACCGCACCAGAGAATGACAGAGCTATAGGAAAGCAGTTTTTATATACTGCTAAACTCTCTAAAGTTATCTTCTAAGAGTTTTATAGTTTTAGCTCTTACATTTAGGTGTCTGGTCCAATTTGACTTAATTTTTGTATATGGTGTGAGGTTGGGGTCTTCTGTAACTTTATTCTTTGGCATGTGGATATCCAGCTGTCCCAGTACCATATGTGAACAGACTATTCTTTCCCCTGTCAAGTGGTCTTGGCACCCTTATTGAAAATCAGCTGACCACAGATGAATGAGTTTATTTCAGGACTCTCAATTCTATTCCAAAGATTGATATCTCTACCCTTATTTCAGTACTACACTCCTTTGATGGCTGTAGCTTTGCAGTAAGTTTTGAAATTAGAAAAGTATGAGTCTCCACTTCTGTTCTTTTTCAAGATTGTTTTGGCTATTTGAGATCCTTTATAATTCCATATGTGAATTTTAGTATCAGCTTTTCATTTCTGCAAAAAAAGGAGACTGGCATTTTAATAGGTATTGCAATGAATCTGTGAAACCAGTCGGGGAATACTGGCATCATAATATTAAGTCGTCTAATCCATAAGCACAGTGGTATTTCCTTTTATCTAGGTCTTCTTTAATTTCTTTCAACAGTGTTTTGTAGTTTCCAGCGTCAAGTCTTACACCTTCAGGGTTAAACTTATTCATAACTATTCTATTCTTGTTGATGCTATTGTAAATGGAATTGCTTTCCTAATTATATTTTCAGATTGTTCACTATTAGTGTATAGAAATTCAACTGATTTTTGTATCCTGCAACTTTGCTAGTTTATTAGTTCTAATAGTTTTTCATGAATTCTTTAGGATTTCCTATGAATAACATCAGGTCACTTATAAACAGAGTAATTTTACTTCTTTCTTTGCAATCTAGATGCTTCTTTTTTCTCAACTCTACTGAGATATAACTGATATATACAGGGTGGAGCAAAAGTAGGTATACAGTTTTGAGTACACGAAACACAGTTTATTCTTGTATTATTATTTATTAATTGTATTATTTTCCATACAAACAACTGGAAACCTACTTTTTCCCCACCCTGTATTATAATGTTGTGTAAGTTTAAGGTTATTTTCTTAGTGGTCACCCTGGGGATTACAATTAACATCTTAATTTATAACAATCTATTTCAAATTACTATGAACTCAACTTCAATAGCATACAAAAACTTTGATCCTATATATAACTCTATCCCCCCATTGTGTTGTTACAGGCACACAAAGAATCACAAAAATCATGAATGTGAAAATATTGTATAAACAATAAAAATAATATACAGATATTATTATTGTAGTATTTGGTCACTTTAAGAAGCTTCAAAATGCTGGCTGAAAATAGTCAAGAGCAGTAAACTTGATATTATTCTTAGGCCTGAAAGAGCTCAAACAATACCTTCACGAAAAACAGGGAAGTAACTATCCTCCCACCTTTGTATACATCAGTTTCTGTATCCCCCAAACCCTAACACAGTGCTGGGCACATAGTGGATACAGTCAGTAAGTTTCTTGTAAATGAATAAAAATATGTATAGAAATGCCTCTTTTCTTTAAGGAAAGAAAACTTTAACATTTATTAGGAATCTATTATCTGTCAGGCACTGTGCTAAGTGTTTTAAATATAGTGTATCTCATTTACTCCATACAGAAACCCTATGAGATAGTTATCACCCTCCTCAATTTATGAAGAACTGAGGGAAGTTATCTTTCCCAGGTAATACAGCTGAAGCCAAGATTTCACCCTGTATCTTTATGATCCCAGGCCTGAGCTCTTTCTACTGCAGCATACTGATCTCACAGTCTACTCTACTTTGCCATAGAACAAAACTAGCAAGTCAGGGAAGCTCTCTCCCAAACACAAAATTAAATCATAAACAAGAGGAAGCAGCATTGTCTGAAAGGCAACTGGTTTAAAATTTCCACTGCCAAGAAGCCAGACTGTTTCTGGGATGTCTAGTTAGGCTCAAAATGCCCATAACCACAACGACTTACAAACAAAGAAAAGGAGGGACAGCCAGTATAAACATGCAGCTGGAAAGCTAGATTTAACCCTTATAAAACACTGCTTAAAAAGTTTTCAAATGTTAATGCATGGTATAAAACATCAGACAGCTCATACTCTCAATTGATCACTCATCACTCTCACCCATACCTCATTAGTTTCTTTTAATCAAACTCTCAGGTCTGACAGAGCTGAGTACCACCAAGAAGCTAAAGGCTGGAGAAGACCCTCCTTCCAGCCCCTGGCCTGGGTGTGTGATCCCCCTTCACTGATCCCCAACCCCACAACATACACACATATTTGAATGAAACCAACAACTTCCTTAGGCCTAGTTGTAGCTGCCATACAACTAGAAATGGGTGAAATTGTGTTACAATCCTTCCCTTGTGTATTTATGATCTGGGTTATCGGGCTTGTACATACCAGTATTCTTTCTTTTTTTAAAAGTGTACAATTACATTTTTAGTATACTCAGTTACTAAGCATCACCACAATCAATTTAGAACAACTTGTTACAATCCTTCCCTTGTGTATTTACGATCTGGGTTATCAGGCTTGTACATACCAGTATTCTTTCTTTTTTTTAAAAGTGTACAATTACATTTTTAGTATATTCAGTTACTAAGCATCACCACAATCAATTTAGAACAACTCCATCACCTCATACCCTTTAACTAATACTCCCAAACCCCACCCTTTCCTCCAGCCCTTAGCAACCACTGGTCCACTTTGTCTCTACATATTTGCCTGTTGTGAACATACACTAGTATTCATTTGCAGATGAACAAAAACACTGTTTCCACAGCATAATGCAAAAGGATTTGAGTCTCC